TTTGGACTCTAGTTGCCTGGCAAAAATTATTAGGGAGTCATCCACTGGAGGGGAGCTCTGAAGGAGTCACCCCAACAGTGGGAACAGCAGGGTGGACCTTGAAGTCATGGTCAGTGGACAGCAGGGAGTCTGCGCCCTGCAAAGATGATAGGGACAGGGAAAAAATGGGGCCAGGGGTTATTGGGTGCTGTGATTTGTAGGATCGCTGGCCCTAGTGCTTTGCAAGTCCGGCATTGCAGCAGGCAGTGTCCAAAAAAGAGCTTCATCGGTCTCCTCGCATACACATGCAAAAATAATGAAGCATCCTATTGCATTTTACAGTGTGCATTTCTTATGCTTTTCCATTCCATGATTCCTCCTGTTTATATACAGGTATACTGCCACTGATGATGATGATAATAATGAAAAAGCCTGAGCTATCGCATATGCATGATGGGACTTTTAATATCTCCCTCTGCCAGCAAGCCAAGGAGGGAAACGGTGGGCAGTCCAGGACTGCTGTGTGTGTCTTAGGAGGAGTACGGGTTTTAGGCAACCCCTCATGCAGTTAAGATGGCGTGATTGGAGTGGGTTATGCCTTATGTTTAGGTCCACCACTGTAACATCTGCTTTCCTGGTGAGCCATTTTGTAATTTGAAGTGCCCCAGAGACATCAGCCCCGCAAAAACTGAGATAGGTTTGAGGTCCCATCAGATGCGGAGGGGTCATCTGCCCTGCTCCAGAGGGGAGCATTCCGGGGAGAGGTGCGGGCGGGTGCCGGCAGGGAGCTGCCACATCTGAGGGTGATGCGGAGAAGGACGTGTGATATCTGGGATGGGAGAGGAAGGCAAGCGGTCATCCCTTGCAGGGTGGGTGCCAGCTGGGTATTGCCTGCAGATGTCTGCAAGGTACAGGAAATTGTGGGTCCCCAAGTGGTCCCAAAATAGATGTGAGAGGGGCGCTGGGCGGCAGGCAGGAACAGGGAGGGATGCTGTGTGGAGGGAGGAACCAGCCATGTGAGGGTTTGTGGGGCACTCATAATTCCTTTTTCTGTTCAAACAGGGACCCGGGGAGGGCATGCTCCAAAAGGAGCTGGCTGTCCCCTTGCCAAGGACTGGGGAGACAGTGCCCAGAAGGGTCCAACCCTTTGGGATCTGCTTTTTGTTGGCCTCCCCCATCCCTCCCCCACCTCCCAGCTCTTTTGCGTGGGATGGGGATTGCTCTCTGCAGAGACCTCTCCCTGCATCCCCATCTGGCACATTTTTCCCATTAAATGACAGCTCAGGAAAATAAAGGCCCGTGCCAAAATCCATCCTTTATTTGGGACATTACTTAAGCTCATGCTTAACTTTGACCTGCAGTGAATTAAAGAGGATGGGAGCATGCATTTAAAGTTAAGCACAGGTACAAAGATGGGCTGGAGGAGGAGATCAGAGTGCTTGCTGACCCACACCCCTGTAAGGTGCTTCTGCAGCAATTGAGTTGCTCCTGACTTTACACATCGTTCAGGCAGAGTCAAGCCCAGCACATTCCTGCCATGGTTAGATTAATTTCATTAAGGCGTGCACTTCCAAAATGCATAACTAGGTGACTTATCTGCTACGTGTCTGCTCTGGAATGCGAAAGTACCAAACTCTCCTGGTTGTTACCTGCCTTTGTACAGCAGAGATAAATCAATGTATACACCAGTGATGTGATGCATTTGCCTAACCCGTTTTTGCACTGTGTCATTTGAAAACTGAAATATGTCTTGCTGATGTCACGTTGTCTTCTTGTGGGTTGTCACCTCCCTGTAACTTTGTGTTCCTCTTTCTCCTTTGGCACACAAACAGCATTTAAAAAAAATCCCCTTCACGTGGTGCATAGACTCTTGAGGGTATTTTTAACCTATTACATTGAACCATATTTGGTTCTCTTCTCAAAATACAAATTCCCTGACATGGTCAGATAAGCAGTGATGGTTTGGGGTTTTTTTTCCCTCAGAAAAAGGAACATAATATATTCTGAGTGAACTACATGTCCTCATCTATGGACTGAAATTGGCCTTTAGAGAAAATCCCTCCACTTCCACTGAACACCGATTCTCTTCCTTTTGGTATTTATTGCACCAAACAGCCATGTTCATTTCTATTTCTCTGTTGAAGTTTGCAAGACCAGGAAAGAAAAAGCCTGCAATTTTATAGTGCAGTTATCACAGTTCCTGTAAATAATTTTATTTGCTCTGCTCCTTACTGTGGTGGGACAGATCTTCTGCTGGGTCAGTTTCTGCCCTGCACGAGAGAGGGGCAGAAAGCATGAACCCTCAAGTCCCTTGTTCAGGCATGGCCCTCTGCTCTTTTGTTTGCCAAGCAGATGTTATAGGAAGGCTCTGTACAAGCCTGTCTTCATTTCTGTGATCCGGACGGCGTTCACTCATGCAAACCATAACCTAGAATTGAGTTTCCCTTTAATTGTTTTCCTGGCACCAAGTTCTGTGGGTAACTATATGCATTTTTACACTTCCAGTGTGATTTGCAGCTCCCTTTCCGCTGTTTGCTCAGCAAGTGATGAAAACAACTCCCACCGATCACTTGTTCCCAGCTCCTTAACGCCACGAGAGAGAGTCCCTTCTGCTCTGAGGACACATAAAGCAGGTGACCTGCTTCCCAGGTCACCTTCCAGGAGCAGATACACCCCTGCTTCTCCCCTCCTTCGCTCCTCTGACCGCTGCCACCGTCATGACAGATGAGTTGGGCTACGGAAATCGTTTTGCGGGAGCTGTGGGAGAAGGTGTTCTGTCTTTATCTGCCTTCTCATGTGGCTGCGGCAGGTCTGGGGAAAGCAAAAAGCCTTGGAAACAAACACAGCCTGGTCTTGAGGTGACGGAGGTGTGTTTGAATAGAATAATGATGAAAGTGGCAAGTCAGCCAAAGATGTCATATTTCAAAAGGAGGTTGTTCATTTAAGCGCCGGTGAGATTTGGGAGCCCAGCATCCCAGGGAAAATTAGTGGCCTCAGGGCTTCTCTGTCCTTCGGCGCTTTTGAAATACATCGTCCTTACTTAAGAGTATTAATATCAGAGCTATGTAAAGTCAAGTCTTCAAAAGAGAAATAAATGGCATAAAGAGCTATAAATAGGAAAAGGATATTCCAGAATCAACATACTCTTAAATAATTTTTCTCAGGGTAGATCCTTTTGGGGTAACGTTATATATTTTAAAATGTAAAATATTTGCCTATTGGGCACCTAATCCAGACTTCACTTTTTTTTTTTTTGTTCTTTTCCTTCCGAGAAAAGGGACCACATAAGGGAAGGCAAGTAAGGGAAAGCAATATCAAATGAAAAGGAGCAGGAAAAGCGAAGGGAGCAAAAGTAGGGGATGATGCTGCACTAAAAGGAACATTTCCAGTATTAGGATGATATACCAAGCTCATAAACAGAGGGAATATGGGAACATACAGTTAAAGAGGAGGGGAAAGGGAGCCACATAAGAAATGAGACAGAAGAAAAAGGTTCAGAAGAAGAAAGTAAGAGCACGTTAATTACAGATATTCCTTTAGGACAATAGTAATTTACAAATTTTATCTCTTCTTTTTTTGTGTGTGTGTGTTTTTTAATATTATAGCAATCTCTGTTAACATCCCTTAGCCATGGTATCTACTTCACAGTGTGGCTGAAAGAGTTTCACTCTGTCTAGTTTCCAGCAGTCCTGACTAAAACCAGAACTTTCAGTATAGTTTTCAGGTACCTCTTGGACAGATTTATTATTTTTTAATGATCTTAAAATGTTTAAATTTTGTAGTATATTTTTATAAAGAGGGATATCTTCTACCCTTCCTCATCCCTTCCCCACACAGTCTTTGCCTCCTGTCTATGGCCGTGGAGGAGATACCCATTTTGGACACCCCAGCTAGGAGATGAAGAAGGCACGAAAACTTATTGGGGAAGGCAGTTGCTGCAGCCTGCATTGCACTGGGGATTTTGTCCACCTTGACCTAACAGGCAGCAACCTTCCAAGATGTTCAGCTGCAGATATTTTATTATTTTTATCTCCAAACTAGGACTTGAAGCTATGGTTCTCAGTTAAGGCTTGGCATTTTTCTCTTGGTCCCCAAATAATTTTTAGGGTAGATGGGGCAAACTGTACGCTATGTGCTTCACCTAAGGCTTGTGCAGCTCTTGGTAGGACATGGGGCTGTCCAGGTCTTGTGGTGTGAAGGCCCATGTCTCTGATAGTGTCCACGCTTTGCTCAAGTTGGGGCTGTGGCCCAGAGTCCCACCATCCACTTTGGGGGATGGTTTTGTGTATTTTTGCTCAAGTGGCAGAAGAGCTGGTACCCAAAGGTGTAGTGGTTTGATACCACTAAAAGGGAAACAAAACAGTCTGATTTCTGATGCTGCTCACAGATAACCTCAATAAAACAGTGGGATCAGCTGCAAAGGTCCCTACTTTCAGTGCTGAGCATGAGGGGCGCATCGCATCAGTAGGAGATGCTGGAGACTTCCTCACGCATCACCTCTCCATCCCTGGCATCCTGGGGTGGGGGCATCCCCTCTCTCTGCCCTGGTTTGTTCTCCTGTCCCTATTGCAAAGTAGCTGGGGAGCGTACCCAGCCCGGCACATCAACCAGAGCAGGACATACGTGGTCCTGTGCCAGGCTCCTGCCCTCTTTTTGGGATACACTGTAGTGGGAAACTGAAGTCGCTTAAGTAAGCGGGGGGGGGGGGGGGGGGGGGGAGGGCTTGCAGGTGGGTGCACTGACCTCACAGGAGCCCCATAAATGAGCGTGGCCCGTAAATCTCACTCTTCAAGTAATCCTGCTCTGGAGACAGGGTGAGACATCTTGATTTAGAACGGCTTGAAATTTGCTGAGCCAGTTTGCTCTCCCGTGCTTTCATTTTGCTTGTTTCCTTCTCTCTCTGTATATATATTCTCACACATATATACACATGCCACGCCCCCACACTCCCCCTCTCTCTCTGTATACCTGTTATTTTGCTGCTAGTCTACTGTAGCATTCATGCCTGTGTGCTTTCCCAGGCCGTTCATTGTGCTGCCTCCCCTGATGGAGTGGATACGGGTTGCCGTGGCTCACGCGGGACACCGTCGCAGTTTCTCCGTGGACAGCGATGACGGACGGCAGGCAGGGAGGGCCTTCCTG